ACCTTTAGTCTAAATTCATCCTCCTTCACCATCAGTCAGAGTGAAATATATGGGGAAGATGAACCCCATCTTGGTAATCATTAGCCAACATCCATTTTCCAGCAACGTTAATCCACAGGGTAAAGATCTGAAAGTGTTTTGGGCAGAGCGTTTATTTCCCTCAAAATCAGGACCTAGTGGAAATATTGATTCCTTGTCATTTAGCAGGTGCTTTTTATCTGAAGTGATTTACATTTACAGTACACTAACTGCAGGGACAGCCTCCCTGGAGCTTTGTCTGGGAACCGAGTGGGTGAAGGAAATCTCGTTGAAATTACTGCTGAACTGGGACTGTTCACAGCAGGGGTTCCCAAACATTTTCAAGCTATGCTCCTATACTCGGGAGGCGTAATTACTCTCAAGAACCACTAAAAAGATGTTATAGTGAAATATGAGGGGAAAAGACCAATTTGCTCTCTCATTTTGCTCTCAGTTTTTGTTTTCTATTTCATACTATTGAATTTGGTAGGCTGAGAATTTCATTGCATTACCATAAACTATAAAAATGGGGATAATTATCTACAAAGACATGAATATGAAGTATATAGAAAGACAGAGAATATATTTTTGCTTTGCTGGTGGCACAGCATGTTAGAGCAGCCTTATAGATTTAGTGGAGTAATGATTCAGTTGAGTGAATTCAGGTCAAAAGAGTCATTTGTTGATTTAGTAGCTGCTCTGACAAATTTGTTGAGTTCATTCTGTGAAGGATTCATCAGACTGATTCAGACTCCTGAGTTTGTGAGTCATACAGAACGATTCAGTAAAACAACCAGCTCAATAATTGTGAATCGGACTGCCTGGCATTGTATTTTTGTTAAATGCTTGATGTAACATCAAGTGTCACCATTTCCAGGTCCAAACACTCTATCAGCTCACAAAAGCAAACAATAAACTGTTTTAGTGATTTATCTTTAAAGTTGAAATTTTGATGTCCGGGATACTCTGATTCAGACACGGTGCTATAAATAAATAGCACTCATAAACAGCTCTTGAGATAGTCTCGCGGATAACATGAAATGCATGAGGAGCGGCACCACTGAAAACGGCACAAGAAATACTGCTGTGGTGTGCGATGCACTTGTGTTGCTTCGTGAAGAATACATATGGTAAGTTATCCCCAATTCAGATTTGAATTTGAGTACTTATATTATTCATTTTCCTGACATGGTATGAACAAACCATCATTTTTACACTCTATGATCCACAGTTTGAACACTCTGTAGGTTATCGACAGGATTTATTTTGCCATAATTAATTCAAGGTATGTCTGAATAATTAAAGTGTTTGTAGTAATATTTGATTTTATGAATTATTCTTCTTGGGATTACTGATGTGCTGAAGTCCTTCTAATATGTTTGTCTCTCTTGCACTTTCTTTTGGGTAGCAGGCAGTTCCCCAGGTCCATCTTGAAGCAAGCCTTTATGCATCAGTTCCTGATACTTTAATGTGTCTCTGAGGAAGACTCATTCACATAGAAAAGTGGCCCCTGCTCATATTTTCATCCCAAACGTGTCCTGACAGAACACTGCAAGGTCAAGCACTCACCACAGACCACCATAGTCATATGATGATGATGCACACTCACACACTCATATAAACTTCTTTTGTTTCAGTTTGTGAGTCATAGACATGGACATGATTAGTTCAGGTATATTTAGATGCTTTTGATTGTGTAACAAAACAAACTCATAAAGACCAGCAAACCTTCAGGGAATTTTAAGGTACTGGTAGTGTAGCACATAGAGGTTAACGGTTTGGCCTGCAGTTTCTTTAATACAGCTGGAATACTTTTGGCACCAAGGACAAAAAGTAGTAACCTGAGGCACATTGTCTTGATGGAAAACTCTGTCCTTGCACTTTTGTGTAACACAATCAATCTAAAGCAGTTTAAGTGGAGGAAATACTTTAAAATAATAATTGGTTTGGATAGGCTAAATTTAATTCGGTGCAGTGCTTATATCAAATACCATTTTTTAAAATTGAGTTAAGATAGAGTCAGGAAGAAATATAGTATAAATATAGCTTCAAGTTGCAATATACGAGGTCCAACACGAACAGCAAGAAGTAGGTAATTAAATGCTTAGATGTAACACAACTGACATCAAGACTTGGAATAAGGATTTTAAAGGGGTGGTTCAGTGGGTTTTTTCTAGACTTGATTATGTTTATAGGGTGCAGTCTAACATGTGTTAATGCTTCATTTAAAAAAAAAACGCATAATTTTTCACATAATTTACCTTTATTCCACACCGCTCTGTCCCTTCTCTGAGAAATACGCTGATAATTTCCTGCTTTTATGAAGCCCCTCCCTCAGAAATAGGCGATGGGCTCTGATTGGTTAGCTAGCCCAGTGTGCTGTGATTGGCTAAACCGCTTCTAGTGCGTGTCTAAGCGTCCCGCGTGCTCCGGTTGTATTGTAAACAACAGTGTCGTTAATATCGCTTATCAGTTTGAGCCCGATTGAGAAGCAGAGGATATTATTGAAGAGGATTGTGCAGAACCTGTGCAAGCACGGCTTTTAATGGTAGGCCTATGTTTTTTGTTTGTTGTTGTCTCGTACTTTTAGATACGCTGTTGTAAATGCTACTGCTTATGTTAGCTTTTAATATACGGTTTCATCCTGATTAAAGCTTTAATACAGCAACCGCATGCGCGTCCATGTTTAATGCTTCTCATATCATAGCTGTCACGGCGCGGTCAGGAATCACACCGTGTGAGCAAGGGTTTTGGGTCCAAATGCAGGTTTTATTCACTGCCAGGGAAAACAAAGGAAAAACAGAACATAAACAGAGCTTAACACAGTAGGAAAAGTGTCGCAGAGAAAAATAAATAAATATGACACCTTTCATTTAAAATGATAGGCTATGCTAAATATAAACAAACCCGAGTTGAACGTCCTTCAAGGACAGCGCATTCACACTTTGCTCCATCCTTATTCTGTCACTCATCGACAACCTGCCTGTTCTGTCTGAAGGCTGTATATTTACCACAGGTACAGCCTGCTCTGAGCATCGTTATGCGCATGCTGCGCACAGACCTCCACAAATAAAACGTGTGATGTTTAAAGCATGTTTGCAGCGCGTGCATAACAGTCCTGAGCGCAAGCTGTACTGGTGGTCAATAAGAATAAAGCGCAGATATGCTGTTCTAAATGGACGTCGGGAACGGGAAATTGTTAGATCGCCCGCTCCCGTTCAAATTACACCAGAGTTACCGACGTTAGTTAGTCGCGGGAATGCAGACCTCTAATGCAGAGCGTGTGGAGAGCAGGGGAACGCAAGGAACAGTATTGAGAACCGCTGCTTTTGAACATTGATTTTGAAACCTGTGAATCCATTAGAATCGTTAGAAGACAGAATCGCGATTCATATACAGGTGCATCTCAATAAATTAGAATGTCGTGGAAAAGTTCATTTTAAATGAACTTTTCCACGACATTCTAATTTATTGAGATGCACCTGTATGAACAGATTTTTACGGGCACCTCAAGTTTTCTCTTCCTCTTCTCTAAAGCAGCGCAGCATGGCCCTTTGCTGCCTTTTCCCGGGGGCGGGGTTTGTCTGGGTTTGTGATGTCACAAACCCGGGAAGTAACTTGTTGTAGTCCCTACCAGCCGTTTTTGTAGGCATTAAACTTCCAGAATTTGAAAAGACGATATCTCCGTTTGCATTGAACTTTCAGCTTCGTAACTTTGCAGATATTGTTTATGCTCAAACAGCAACATTACACACTAACGTTAAAAAAGTGAAATCACAATGAACCACCCCTTTAAAAATTACACTTTTAAAGACATTGTAGAACAAGGGATCATATGACACTAGAGAAAATCAAACCAACACAGCTTAGGCCTTTATGTATTAAAAAGATATCAAACATTTATCAAAAGATGAGGAGTCCTTTGTATTCAGTACAGCAAAAGAAATATAGTATGAATGTACTACAGATATTAGACAAATGAGTGTGAGTTTCACCCATAATTTGTTTGAAATTAATGGACATGAACTCACTCAGAGAAGCAATGTAAAATATTCCAAGAATATTCTAAGTATTCCTGCCTGACCAATTTAGATTAACTGTATTACATAAAAATCTATAGATCTTCAGCAGCTTTATGCTTGTACACCTAAATCAAGGAGGTCAGTAATACACAGAGAAAGCTATCAGTTAGGATTCCTATTCATTTCAATGGCAAGTGCTTGCCTGGCATGTGACCACCTGAAAGTATGCAATTTAAAGTCTGCCATTCTTGCTCATTGGAACTCAGTTCTGGATACTGTTTTTTTTACTACCCTGGAGAAGTAGGAAAATGACATCATGACAACATTGATTTGTTGATTACACCATGTAGTACATGCACAATCCCAAACCCTTCACTAGTGTCTATCCTGAGCTGTGACGTCAAATGAAGCAGACAGGGACAAATATGTCCATTTCATGCTTTTAAGAGCCCTAAAAAAGGTCACTACCAAGACATCTACTATAATATAATAGAATATTTGCTTTTTATATGTTTGCTTGAAGAAATTTAGTCACAACTACTTAAGCTGTCCTTTTTAGTTGTCCTTTGTTATTTAGTGAGATGCCAAATTTTACAAAAAATATAAAGCAAAGACAATTTATGACAAAGAAATTTCAAGTTCAATTGACCAACAGCACTTAGCTTTTATATTTTACATTTTAATATGCTTGTTGCTAAGCTACCACAGCGATAATCTATCCCCTAATTGAGATTATTGAAAAATTTAGCAACAGAAATATCCTGCATGCAAAATTGGGTGACTTTCCACCATAAAGAGATTAAGTTAAGTTAATAAAGAGATTAATATATATATAAGAAGCACCGAAAGCAATAAAGCTAACAAAGTGTAGGTTCATATCTATTTAGTGTGTTTTGTGCCACAGGAAACACTTGAGACGGGCAAGAATACAATTTGAGATTACAGTAACACTTATCAAGCTGTACGATTTATATTTATTTTCTTTGGAAAATATAACCAGATATTTAGTATGTAAAAACTTTTGAGCAGCATTTGACAGAACATAAGAAAAGAAAAGAACATTTTCACACAGTTCCACAGACTTCCACTGAGTCACAAATACAGCCCCTGAAACCCACCATGTCAAACGGCTTCTTGCATTTTAACATCTTTACAACAAAATGGCAGGAAACTCTCCGCTTCCCCCGGAGGTTCTGCTAAGAAGAGGATGTCCCAGGAGAACAGGAATTCTGAGCAAAACCAAACACTTCACAACACAGCACTGCCGAGGCTTTTTCCAGTAGATACTTTGCTTATTGGGGAAGACAACTTGAGTTTTTGCAGCGTTTTGAAAGGTAATTGTAATGTATCTGTAAATAGATATATTCATATATATATATATAGAAATATACCATTCTTTCCCACAAATATGAAATATATACAACAACTTGAATTTAATCACATCTGCACTGTCCAAATAATGCTTTCCACAGACGAAGCATCGCAGAAGACACGCATTATATGGTTTGGCGTTTTTCTTTTTCTTTCTTTTTTTCATTGAGATACCACATGTAAACTCTCATGATTAAATACATCCTCTGCATCTTTTGCAGCACATATACCCAAAGACTCACAAAGTCCAACAGACACGCATACGCAACCATGCAACCCATGAAATCCTCTGCCATTTAAAAAGTTTAGATCATCTTCATGTTGACTCGTCTGGGCCCACTTGTTTCTGTAAGTTCTGAGTTTGCGCCTTTACGTTTTCGTGGGACGTACTGAATGTCCACGCTACCTCTGTGCTTCCCTTTGCCACGGCTCCATGCAAACAACAACAAGAAACAGAACAAGACGACACCCAGGAAGCTGAGGCAGCCCATTGCTGTGGAGACCAGGATGGTGGTGAAGTCCAGCACCACCCTGATGGTGTACTCTTCCGTGCCATTAATCAGGGAACTGTTGTAGTCGGAGTCAAACAGAAAGCTGTGGTTGGCGTAAAGGGCTCTATCCCTGATTCCTGAGCTTTTAACAGCAACAGTGATGGAAAGAGTGGCATTTCCCGCTGGGTTCGATGCCACGCACACGTACATGCCGCTATCCTGAGGCTCTGCCATGCGGAACTCCAACGAGCCATTAGTGTGGACCACCATTCTTCCCGTACTTTTTGTGGTAATGTGCCGCCTATGTGGTGTCAGCCATGACACAGAAGGTGGTGGAGCCCCGTCCGCACTGCAGTATAGCCAAGCTCTCTGTCCTTCTTCTGCCTGTGCTGGGTAAGTTGCCATTGAGACAACCCTGGGCTTGGTGCAGATAACGTAGCGAGAGATTTTAGGTTCCACCAGGTCCCTAAGAGGCTTCCCAGCCAAGGGAGCAGGAGCACTACATTCAGGTTGAACATCACCATACAGCAAAGGTGGAGTCCTCACCAGGAGCCAGCGTAGACGACAGTCGCACACTAACGGGTTCTGGCCAATCAGAAGAGTCTGCAGGGCCTCAGAAGCATGAAAAACACTCCTCTCGAGCGTGGAGAGACGGTTGTAACAAAGGTCAAGAAGGCGCAGCGAGGAGGCTCCTTGAAAGGCTTGAGGTTCCACACTGAGCAGGTTAGACTGTCGCACACGTACAACTTCCAGCCGGTCCATTCCCCTCAACCATCCTGCTGGCAGGACACGTATACGGCTGTAAGACAGGTTGAGATGCGTTAGATACAGCAGATGTGTCACCATTGGCACGGACGTCAAGTTGGTGTGGGTAATGGAGAGTGTGCTGAGGTTCAACCCCTGCAAAGCGGCGGTCGGAAACCCTTCTAACAAAGGCCAGCGGTCAACTTCAAGGTGTTTCAGTCGTGGTAGACCCTTAAATGTGTGTGCCTGAAGCTCCACGATGCCCAAGTCCCGCAATCGCAGGCTGGTTAGACCGTGCAGATGTGCGAGAGCATGTGTGGGCACTGTGCTCAGGTTGCATCGCTGCAGCGTTAGAGAGCGCAGGGACGCCAGGCCGCTGAAGGCCCTTGGGGCGATAAACACTAGCTCATTATCACTCAGCTCTAGTACCCGAAGCCTCCGCTGCTCCTCAAAACCGTAGTCCAGCAGAATAACAAGACGGTTTTGACTGACATCCAGCAGAGTGAGCTCGCTGAGGCCAGCCAGCGCTCCGCGCGGCAGCAGAGTCAGCTGATTGCTGCGCAGTCGGAGTGAGCGTAGCCGCGGCTGAGCGCGGAAGCTGCCAGGTTCCACAGATGACAACAGGTTGTTGCTGAGGTCCAGCTCCTCCAGCAACAGCAGCGAGGAGAAGTTCTGTGGTGTCACAATGCGCAGCCGGTTTTTACTGAGGTCCAATGCTCTTGTCTCTATAGGGATGCCTTCAGGCACCTGCGCTAACCGCCTGCGATGGCATGACACAGAACGCGTGGGCACAGAGCACTCGCAGCGGGCAGGGCAGGCGTGGGTGGGGCACTGAAACAGGAGGAGTGGCAGGAGGGAGAGCCCCAGAGCACAAGAGAGCGGAGAGAACAGCATGGCCACCTACAGAGAGAAAACAGAGACAGAGAAATATGATATAGATGAGAGAGATGGCTGCATGGTTAGTCACTCAAGGTAATGTAAACAGCCACATACATACACTCTTGAGACTACAGGTCATTGTACAAAATCGGTCATTCTACAAGGTCATTTTAAATTAAAATTATCAGCTGTAATATAGGCTTATTTTTAAATGTATTTATTTTTATATATTTATTTATTTATTAAGAGGATAACTGGGTGTATTGATATAATAAAAGAGCACCGTTCAGTTTGTGATTCCAGAAATTAAAAATAAAATGTTTTTGTTCTTCAATAAAAACAATAGTTACTGAGGGGGACAAAACAAAATACGATTTCAGTTAACATCCAGATTAAAAATTGTTATTTTTTTAATGTGTTTATAAAAAATGTTTGATAGTAAAAGTTTGCATGTATTTCTATACATGCAGTATGTGTACAGCATGAGGGACACAGATAAGCCTGTGTTTAGTAGAATGACCCCTGTAATGCACATACATGCACGTCATGTCCTTTGTTCCATCCCAATTTCCCAACACCTCCTCTGTGCAAGACCTCTGCTGATTCTAGCTGATGGTGGTGTATCGATCGTCTCTTTCTCTGTCTCTCATATGGCGCACACACACACAAAACCTGCTTTCAGAAAGACATCTCCAAACATGCCATAACCATGGAAACCCCATGCTCCCTTGGCAAAAGTCCTGCTTTGCCAATTGAAATCAATAATGGAGGAAAGCAAAAGGCAGGCATTCCACAGGTCTGTTAGGCTCTGATCACAAATGTGTCATTTAGATTAGATACGAAGACTGATTTTAACCATGTCTGTCTAAATGTTTTATGTCTATGTGAAATCACCAGGTAATTGGGGAAGATGAGGGAGCGAACACTTTTACCTGTAAGACAATAAAATAGGCATACAATATAAAATCAGAAAAAGGCACAACAATATTGGAGACAAAAAGGAGATTTTTGTAATTGTGTATTTTTATATAATGACAATTTACCTTTGGATATCTTATCTATTATTATCTATTGATTGACTTTCCTACCAACATGAAATGGGTTGAAATACACCCCTTATTTCAGACAATATAAAAATCGAACAGACAGCCTCTCGGATAAGAATCACCAGCAAGGGAGCTTTTACATTTTCTGAGGTATCTATCTTGCATGAGAATGCATCATTTAAACCTGCATCTAAATTACCGCCATTTAGTCTTGTAATTAAAAATGAATGTCTCCATCGTAAAATCTGAAGTCGGCTTTAGAATGGATTATTACATTTTACAACATCCCAGCAGCTCTGATTATATACATCTCTTTATGTTTCTCACTTCTAGGCTGTTCTTTAATATTTTAAATACTCCCTTAGACATGATGCACACTGTTGCATACTTCAAGATGATGCGTTTCTCATTATTATGAAAGATACGTGAGCTTTGAAAACATAATTATCAAAGGGCATAATATGTGGAAAATTTACATGCACGTATTCTCAATTAATTATTAATAGAACAGAACCATAAAGGCATCTGTTTCCATTATTGCTCTAAAATGACCATAAAGAGAAATGGTCATAATCTTGGGCTGAAAAAATGGGGCAGACAATTTTCAGTGAATTGGCAAGCCACCATGGAGTGCTCTCATAACCGATATAGCAACAGATTGACCTGCATGCATGGAATAAACCTTGTGCCTAGTTTCCCTCTAATGTATAATTTAGACATGTGGCTTTACTACGTCAATAATAATCTACCATGCATTATTACAACAATTTTCCTCACAATTCCTTTGTATAAACCTAGTGCAAATCACATTTAAAAATTTACCTAATGTATTTAAATGCCAGAACTCGTTAAAGGGGACCGCAAGCCTGCCTACCGCCGCTCACTCTAGCCCGCCGTGTATGACGCTGTTTGTTTTGTTGTGAAAGCGAAACTACTTTGTTTGGCCTTCCAAAAGAGGACACATAGAGTTGCGCTTGTTGGTCATTTCTCCGATCACAAATGCAGACATGGTTTTATGTTTACACAGCGCGATGCAACGCAACGCAACGCGTAAAAAGACAGTATAAGTCATTATAATCAGTAATTATGTCCACACTGGATGCAACAAATGCCTCGTTTATAATGGGTTTTATTGTTTTTGTCTCGTCACTCCGGCCGGACAGGGCATCACAATATGGTAAGTAGGGATGGGCGGATCGATCCCTAAGTATCGATACTTTCGATACTGATGTTGTATCGAAAGGATCGATCCTCACATAAAAATATCGATTCTGAAGTGCATTTTTTTAAACATTAATTTTATTTACTTGTCAAGAAATTCGGTGCATAAAATACGCTTCTAAGTGGAAAAATAGACTATATTAGCGAATAATTGTGTTGGATAGAACCATTTCTCCTGCTCATCGGAACACGCAAATGCTAAAAGACAGAACCAATCGATCACAGACAGCGTTCGCTGCTTACGCATGGCTTACAGTTCTTGTTCAAATAGGGCTGCGTTTCCCAAAAGCATCAGAAGCATAAGTAGATCTTAAGAAACCATTGCCACATTATTACATTACATTACATTGTTACTATATATAACATTAATTCTGAAAAATGCATCACAATTTCCACACAAATATGAAGCAGCAATAATAATAAATGTTTCTTGAGCAGCAAATATTAGAATGATTTCTGAAGGATCATGTGACACTGAAGACTGGAGTAATGATGCTGAAAATTCAGCTTTGATTACAGATACATTTTAAATTACATTTTAAAATATTAAAATAGAAAATAGTTATTTTTAATTGTTATATATCTCAATATTGCTGCTTTTACTGGGTTTTTTCCTCAAATAAGTGCATCCTTGGCGAGCATGAGACTTAAAAAAAAGACAAAATCTTACTGACCCCAAACTTTTGTGTACATGTAATATTTATTTTAAATTGGCTAGTTTGTGCAAGTAAATTTATTTAAACTTGTTAAAAGTTCAAATGGATTGTGTTATGTTCTGTAATTGCTGTTAATAAATCTGTCAGAAAAAAATATGCTAAAGTTTCACCTTTAGGGGTACAACAGCCTGGCAGCCTTTTACAAAAATTAACCATGGTTTTATTACAGTAACCACAGTTTACCACAGTATTTGTAGTAAAACTGCAGTAACCACAAATTTACCATGATAATAATAATAATACTACATTTTAGTACTTATGTAACACCATGTTTATTTTTCATGAGGTACCCTCAAAGGTGCACCTTTGTAACTTATCTACCCTTAAAACATGCATACTTGTATGGTACTAATATGCTTACTTTTAGGGGTATAGTTGCACCTTTGAGGTTACTGCCCCATTAAAGGGCTAAAATATACAATTATAGTATATTTTATTTCTAAAAGTGTAAACAAAAAAGGCATATGTTAAAAAAACATGGCTTTAAAAGCTAATATTAAGTGAGTATAATTACTGATTATATATTCTTTCAATAATTTAAAAGATCAGTTTCGTTTAGAAGTATCGGTATCAATATCGACGATACTGGGCTTGAAAATATCGGTATCGGATCGAAAATAAAATAAGAGGTATCGCCCATCCCTAATGGTAAGGGGGCGTAACATTTCCCTCACACGCTTGAGGTATTCGGCCATTCACAACGCACTGGATAGCTGGCCAATCAGAGTAACCTCGCTTTTCATACCGATGAGCTTTGAAAAAATGGACACGTTTCAAAAAGGCGGGGCATAGAGGAGAAAAAATAATGTACAGTATGTGGAAAATAATGGTTTTTTTTTTTTACTTTAAACCGCATAAACAGATTTCATTACACCAAATACACAAAATAATGTTCTTTTTAGCAACAGCATATGACCCCTTTAAAATCGCCAAGACAAAGTTCGAGGTGCAAATTCTTTAAAAATCTATTTCACCTCACACTGGCCTAAATGACGAGCACAGGTTGCCTCATTCGAACGCTGATTAGTAAGAGCCAGGCTATGCTTTCCTTTCAAATCAATATCAATACATATACAAAATCTGCTGCCACATTTGTGCTGCTTTTCAAGAAGTGTGACTGCAAATGTCCTTGCTTGTACAACAGAAGCATTTCTCAACCTTGGCGGTGCTCAGTTTCATTCACAACTCCATCAGGTTTGTCGCGACGCAACACGTCAAATGTTCGCCTGCCAGCGTGAGTGTCAGAATGAAGACAGAGGACGCGTCTGGGTGGAACATCAGGGGGCAGCGCTAAGCCTGTGGTTCGTTATGGGGAGCAGCTCACTGACAGGAGAGGTTTATTAAGTTTTAATGAGTTAATAATTCAATTCATCCCAGCCGATCTGATGACAGTATCAGCAGCAGGGGAGAGCATTAGCGTTGATGTAATTCTTGCTAAAGGTGTCTGGATTAGAGATGCATTTCTAAGGCAAAGTTAATCAATTAATCATTACAAAGTCCTCTTTTTGGGAATGGAGATAAGCCATTATTTGAGAGGATATGTTGTCACACAGCAGGGAGCAGATTCTCCTCAGTCTTTCACAAAATCTTTATCTCACAAAAGCAATCTGTCGATCTTCTCTACAACACAGACGAGGCAGCCGAGCTTTACCACTCAGAAATACGCTGAGTGATCATTACTTACACACGGAATAAATGGGGATTTGGGAGGTAGGGGAAGCCTACAATCTGCTGGTGATTCCAAATACTTATACTATCAGAAATTTTTTTTTCAATTCTTGTCATCTTTGAGAAGGTACTAATAGTCTATGTACCATTTAGATACTAATATGCATGCATCCTTTAGGGGTAAATAAGGTAAAAAGTTGTACCTTTTTTCTGAGAGTGCAAGATAACTCTCAAAAACAGAACCTGTTAAAACCCTTCACCAAAACAGTGTAAAAAATTTACAATTAATTAATAATAAAATATTAATTACAAAATAAATTATAATAATGTTTAATGAAAATAATAAATAAATAAAATTTTGAAATATTCA